ACATCTTTGTCATTCATTTTCGTATCTGTATTGATTATTCGAGGATTGGGTGTAAATGTTAATGGAAAATTTCGCTTCAACATGTTGATAAGTAGTTCCCAAGATTCTCGAGCCGTTTGCCGTCTAAAAATATTGTTCCTCGGTCGATTACACGTAATGCAGAGTGACTGATGTCTGGAAAGTTCAACGCGTCAACGTCCGACCTCGGCATAAATATGTCTCGTTATGAATTAAAATCGCATACCTTTTTCAGTATCACGGAGATTTCCAGAATGATTATATATACATAATTTTTCGTTCTAGAGGCTTTTAACCCAGTTCTTGTTAATATTTCTACGTTCTATCCAATGAAACATAAAAATACTAATTTTATATTTGACCATTAAGTATTAATTTCAAATCATTTCATTTCCTTTCTGTCGATTCTAGTACTAAGTTATGTTTAAACGTACAATTTATTGAAATAGATTCATGCCTTTTTAAAAAATAATAACTTAAATTAATTATCAAAACGCCAGAAAATAAATCGAATAATTAGTGAATTGTATAAGATATATGCAAAAGGAGTATCTTTTCTTATCAATTGCTATAGTATCTATAATTAACACGTTTCTTGCAATCGAATTTACTTACCATTAAAATACCCTCCATAGAATGTCTTCAGTAATAATTGTTTTGTCCTCTTTCTTCAGTTCGTGGCCCGTCCGTTCGACGTTACGTCCCTGCTGCTGCTTACGTACGTGTTACACACCCATAGCTTCGCACCTGTGGACATACCCATGTGTGTAGAAAGAATATCGAATATTCCACGTCTGACGGTATGCTCCTTCCTCTTCTTTCTTTTCCCCAGCTCGCGTCGACTTTCTCTCTCGATTTCGTGCCCCGATAAGGCGTATCCAGCCGGTAGAAAGTGTGCAGGAAGTTCGATTTAATGGTAATAACACGGTATTGATCCTTCGATGATATTCTGGCGAATCGGTTCGTCGTACCTGAGTTATTTTTCGATTTCTGTGAAATAAGAGCCTCAGGACTTTCGTGAAACAATTATATCACGTAAAGAAAAATGTTCTATTTCAGTTCCTAATTCTTAATAACAACTCATTGTCTTTTCCCACGACATTCTTAGCGATTGCGTTGGTAATAGTCACCCTATAACAATAATTTCCTATAAGAACAGGGAATTATACGATCATCCTAAGTATACACTTACATTAAGGATCAAACATCGATACCAGCAAACTGGTATTGCATTTCGACTCACGCAGAACCGAGTAATATATTCACGTACATTAACACTAGAACTACCGACGTATAACGTACTTCCATCGGATCGATAAAAATTCATATATGCCCGAACGACGCAAATTCGTTGATCTATTGCAAATTCACGGAACGATCCGAGGTACACTATCGGAAACGTGAAAATTCACCTGGACGAGGGGAGGGGGGGGGGCTACATTTTAATCGAAGGGGGACTCTCAGCGCGCATACCGGACGGGGCAGAACTAACTCCTCGTTCTCGTGAGAAAACTGTCTGTCTGTCTGGGGATCGTCGGTGGCCAGAGTGAATACGAACGCAAAAAGAAACGAGAGGAACGCAAAACGTTTCGAGAGTGCAACCGCGACAGCGTTGCATCATTTAACAAGAGGGGCTCCTCGACACCAGATATTCCAATACGAAATAATAAACAGGGGGCCCCGACTTGTCTTACCGGGAGCCCTCCCTCCTCCCCGATCGGTCGACAATCAGGTAAAACCGCAACGCGTTACTTATAAATAGTGAACGCCGGTAGGTATCCCTGAGGCGGATCGTTGGCCTCCCGTGGAATCGTTACGTTTACGCTCGCGTACGCATCGTACCGTGGCGCGCGTACACTAGCCTCTTCTCCCCGACGTGCGCGCACCGCGTCGTTGCACCATGACGCATTCCGTGACGAGGAGTCGTACACTTCCCCGCGAGAAGCTGTTTTGCGTGTAGCGATGTGTATGGAGGGAAACAGTCCAAATGTGTCTGGACTTTCTCGAGCTCGAGACGTTCAAGCAATCAAGAGTTTGGTCGTCTGTCGAGGTAATCAAACGTCGATCAAATTTATTAGTCCAAACATGGTTTGGAATATTTCAAGCATGTGTGTCATTCGAACAGTCCAAACGGAATTGTTCGTGTTGGTCCCAACACGGTTGAAATTTTCCAAGTACATTATATTCAAACAGTTCTAACGGAGTACCAGGTCGTGTTGAGGCGACCAAACGCTGATCAAACGTGTCACACGTTTGGATCGTTCGAACGTATCGTCGGGAGTTGAAACATGTTTGAACAGTTTGTTTAAGCATTAATAATTACGTGGCCCTCGTGGGATTCTTGCAACACATGCCAGTGGATCTTTCAAAAACCAAAAAAAAAAACGATCTACCCATTTGCAACTACCTATGTGTGACGCAGTTTTTCTTGAACAGAGTATAGTAATTGTCATTCGTCGTTATGATATTAGATTGTTCCGTTTGTCATGACAAAAACTATATTTTTAATCTGCCAAACGAGTTACTTTCGCTTATAAGCCACATTGGAAGTCGTTTACTGGGAAACTAAGGGGTTTCGGTCGTCGCGTCTCGGTTATCACGTAAGAAACCACTGAAGGAGAGACTCGATTCCACGCCGCGTAAAAATCACGGCTATACCACTGCGCCTGTGGGTCTTTGTTTCATTCACCGGGCGTTCTCCGTGTCGCGTTACGAGCGTGCACGCACGCACTCGAGCGTGAAGCTCCACCCTCTCAAGGATAAGAGGTCGATCGAGGAGGTGAGGCAAGTAGCGAGTAGATAAGATTAAAGAAAGAACAAAAAAAAGGAAGGAGAGGCGACAAAGAGTTCAAGTTTCGTAGTCCCGAGCCTTTAATTCCCTTCCGTTAATTGCTTCCCCCGACGCTTTCCGCTTCACGTCTCGACGATTCCCTTTCGAACGTTGCGAACATAAAAGGGAGAGAGAACACGCGATTTCGAGATCTTTGAACCGCTTCTTTAGGATCTAAGTAACGTACGTTGAAAATATCTTTGAATTCTTTCAAGCTTCGAGAAATGAAACCCTTATTAGAAATTCATTCCAAGTGGGTTTCATGTTCTTTCAATATATATATATTTCTGTGCCCATACCCCCGTACCTAGTTGATTTTTCAGTTTCTTATTTACTCGCCTGTAAATTTTCTTCTATAAGTATTCTGACAGTCAAAAACTTTTCACTCCTCTTTAACCCTTCAACGCCCATAGCCTTAAATTGTTATTTCAGAATTACGAGACTGATATATTATGTTCTATCCTGTTACTTCGAAGTAGCTAATATCGATATTAAACCGACTTATTTCCTTCATGTTCGTTTTTCATTATTTATTTTCCAAGGTAATACTTGAATTTCTCAACCGAAAACGTGTTGAGATTTACTCGACATCGCCAAAATCCTTGTCGACAAAAGTTCTAGAATTTTAAAAATGAACGTTGCATTGGCGCAACACTGGGAGTTAAAGGGTTAATTAAGCCCATACAAGTATCTGCGTCAGAGTTATGGATCGGTGCAAATTCTCTTCTACTCGACATCAATTTTATCATCGCTTGTAGTGATCTCACGATTCGCAATGATACCCTGTTCAGCTCTACAAAACCCAGCCAACGATTGTTCGTTTAAAAAAAAAAAAAAAAAAAAAAGAACAAATCCGGTGGTCTTTATTCGCCAGGTTGGACTATAGGCCACGTCACATCGTCGGCGATGTTTCGTAAGAGAATTTCACAGCCTTGAGCCGGTGTGTGTACCCACCGAATTCAATGGACGTTTAATCAAACCCGAAGGACACGTAGTACTACGCGTAGTATGGCCGCCGTGTAATTTCATGGTCGAGAGAAAACGGGGGTACTACGAACGTACTCGAGCGTGCAGACGCGCATCCGCGGTTAGGAAAGGAAACGGTGTGAGAGAACGTGCGTGTCGTATACGTATGTACGTACATACGTGCGCACAAGCCGCTACGGATCGTCCGCGATATACACGCGGAGGAAATGAGCGGAGAGCGTGTGCACATCGTATGGGGGAGAGAGCCGGTCGAGGTGAAATGGAATTTTCTTGGCCGTTGCCGAGGCATGTTTAATGTATTAAAGGTATATCATAATACAGTATACAGGGTGAGTCGTTTAAAATGGATCGTCTTGAATGTTGTCAGAATCGGTGTCGATACCGAGAAATGTATCGGATAAAAGTGGAATCGTTTCGAGGGGGAAATAATTTGATGTGAATATTTACGTAAATGCAGATTTTATATAATTTTTTCTTGCAAATTCTTGTGGTTTTTGTTGTTGAATGTTAGACCATAGGTGTCGTACGCGAATATGTGTACACTCTCGTCCATAAGTCACCAGACACTTGTGCTAGTAAACGTAAAACGACAAATAATTAGAGTTAGAATGTTCCTTAATTATTAATTCTGCATGGTAGGGGGAATATGTAAATTACATTCAGTGTTGTGAACAATCTCAAGTATGTATTTTAATTAGTGTGTTTTCATTTCATTCAGCGAATGTTTTCTCCCCCCTGATTCCACTCAAATCAGTCTCGAATCACATCCATAAGTTCTTCGATAATTTTTACCCATGTTTTTAGTCTTTTTGGACATCAGTGACGGTGGATTGTGTTATAAATAACTGATTATTATTTAATAATGTCTTGAAGTATTTCTGAAAGATGTTTGAGGTACGTTCGAGATCACTGTTTCATCGAAGAATGGAATGAATCAGTGACAACTGCCTCAAGATATTGCATTTCTGTTCCGATTTTCATCTTTTTCAAAACCATCAAATGTCCGGTGACTTATGGACCGGAATGTGTGCCTTACAACGAACAGTCTTATCGAAACCATCCCGTAAATCATTGTTCTCACGCGTCCGAAACAGCGAGTTCGATTCAAGTCTGAAAGTATATAAGAATGGGGATAATCGTGTTGTCTCTTCTATGAATGTTGCAGAGGTGGGAACAGCTGGTAGTTTCGAAGCTGAAATGGGAATTATCCGCGGTGACGCCCGGTGACTTCCTGATGCACATCTTGAGCAGACTGCCAATGCCACGTACCTGGGACCCGGTGATGGTCAGGAGGCACGCGCAGACCTTCATCGCCCTCAGTGCCAGAGGTAAGAAACGATATCACATAAGTGTTCTTTCTTTAACCCTTGACACCATAGATAGATGACGAATTTATTTCCTACTCAAGCAGGAACGATTTCATTAGGTATTTATAAATATGTATATCGAATGAAAATTATAACAAAATTGTCAAAAATTACTGTAATGAATGATATTCAAAGAAACAATCAGATGGATTTTTCGGAATTACATATAATAAATACAGCGGAAAATTCGATGGAACCGAGATAAAATGCTGGAATTTCCCACGGTATAAATAGAGAATGTTCTGAAAAGTATGGAGGAATTTAGAGAAAGTTGAGGGGATAACGTTGAATCCTTCTTCAAGCAAGTGATCAAACGGTCAATTGCATTGAATGGATGTTGTCGATCATTCTCGCGATTACAAAATTTCTATGAACGCAGACGTGCTGAATCTCGCGTCCGTCCGCGTGGATTTCTCATTCAAATCCGCCTGGAGTTGTAAATTCCAGGCTCGAACGTCGTGGTACGCGTCCGGTTGCGACTGTTGCCCGCCAAATTAATATTAGGCAACTGTTTCTTTATTCTCTGGTGAGAAAAACGAATATAATTGCTCGACCGTTGGAGCTGACGAATCGTGAGGCGACTGTTGTCGAATGAATTGAGTCCGTTTGACTCTTGTCGTAACGAGTGCGTGTTTGCGAATGAGTGTTCGAGTTTCGTGTGACGTCGCGCTTCCTCAAAGTTCGCTGAAGGCGTTACCAAAACTCGCCTCTTTATTGGTTATGCCCTGAAGGGGAAGGCAAATTTTTCGGTTTTTCCAAGCGACGTGGAGGTGGAAAATCTCTCCTTCAGGGCGAAGCGGACGTCAGGAAAATATCGCGCACGTGGTCACGGTGCTAGTTGACCGCGACGAATTTTCGAGTCTCTCAACGGTAGGGTTTACCGAGCGCATGCGGCGGACTGTTATTCTCTTTGTGTCAACGAAATTAAAATTGCTTGAATGAAGGAGATAAAATAATAAAAAGTAACTTTACTGTCTGATTCCTTAGCCGTCGTTTCGGTCTACGACGGAACACTCAATGCACGCGAATATATCACGTTGACGAGAAAAAAGAAAATATCGATTATTCATGCGGTCTATCTCATAAATTATTTGTCATAAACGGGTTAAAAAGGTATTCAAATACGTTCCACTTTCGTCGATTATGAAATGCCGCGCGAGTTTCGCGGCGCCGTAATTTTCATAATATTGTAATCGAGAACGCCTGCGATAACGATAACGAACGAGAAAAGGAAATTCGTGTGCGCGCGCGCTTTAACAGTTGTACGGCGGGGCACCCGTCATGCGTTTTATTCTTTATTTTTCTTTCTTTTTTTTTTTTCTTTAGCCGAACCAATTAACGAGGAATGTAGCGCACGAGCTACACATAATCCTATCTGCGTTCTATTTTTGATCGCAACAGCTCGTCGAACGGTCGAATATTTTAAGAGAACGATAACACCGGCGATACATTTTTCCAGTATTGTTTTTCCTTTCCTCGTAATTAGAGGGGCCATGGATGGGGTTTCACTTAATTCGATTTTTCGAACGGAAATTGTACGCTCATTCGTTAAGGCAAGATAATTGTGCAAATCCAAGTCGTTTATCTCACCTTGTTAAATGATAGTAACATTTTATACAGATTTTATTATTTTAATTGAATTCACATTATCACAGCCCAGCGATTATGTTTTCTGTTTATTTCTATAAATAATGTAAATTCCAGTCGGAGTGGATATACGTTGGGTTCATTAAAAAGTCACGGAATATTTTAACCACACGTTATATTAATCGTTTCGAGTCAGGGGTTGAACATCGAGGAGATTGTGATCTATCTTCACAAGAATTACTGGTTCAAGTTGAAGGATAATTATTGTATAATAAAACTATAATTTATGGCATGCACAGACGCGAATCACCCGAGTAGACGAAACTTTTAACAAGGATTAACAACATTTTTCCTGTTCACTAAAGCAGCTTAAACGAATAGGAATTTGCATACAGCTCGACGGTACAATTTTCCGATTTCGAAATTCGAATATTTTAAGTTCCCAAAAGAGAAAAAAATAACGTTCTATTTCTTCACGAAGTAATTCCCATTTTTTCAGACATACACTCCCGAGGCTTGAAATCTCAAAATTCCGTCGTCTCGACTCCATCGATCGTGACTGTTCAAGGGGGAAAAAAGTCGTACGTTCTCTCTCTCTCTCGAGGTGCGTGGAGCGTGTATACGTATATGCCGCTTTTAGGCGCCTATTAGAAATTATAATCGCATCACACGGGCGCTCGTAGTAAACGCGCGATACGCGATTTAAAATGCGATTCTTACGCGCCAGGCCTTCATTGTCAGCCTCGTTAGAACCGTGCCACTGCGTCGTAAACAATCGGGAACGTGCATCGTTAACTCGCCGGCGTTAATGAATATGCCGGTGCGCATCGTATAATGCAACCGGCGGAAACCATCACGTAACTACGTTGAATCGATTCCCTCCGTGGGTTTCTTTCTTTTCGTTTAATGGGTCATGCGCGCACGTCTAATTATGCACGCCGCTTGGAACCGAGAATGGGGTAACGAAAGTGCAAGGATACGATCCCTCGGTGTTATATTCTTCCTCCACGTCTTCGACACACCGACACGAAAGGAAATGGCGGATCTGCAGAATATTCTCTATACAACTAACGTGTTGCGCATCTAAACCTCTTGAACTTGCTAAATATTTAGAAAGATATGTCAAAATTCGCCAACGTTTTCATATTTGCTATATCTTTTTTGGAAGAAGTAGACTCTTTTGAAGTACGATATTTAATAGAAAAACTATGAAACACTAAGGAGAAATTCTTCAACTGTACCTGAATGTTACAGTTAGAATCACATAATACAACTGTTTAGAAAGAAGGTTCTTCAACGCCACAGGGAGATCAGTAATAAACAATCTATTCACACACGAACAGATATACCATATATTAAAAAAAAAAAACACGCATACAATATTCAAAAATTAAAAAAAAAAAAAAAAAAGAAACCCTTAGACGTTTCACTTCCCGCCCAAAACAATACAGAATAAGCATCGACCTATCTCTGGAAAATGTGCGTTCAAGAGCACACGGTGTACGAAATGTTCTCCAACGAGAGGCTAAAAAGCATAGAACACTGTGTACCAGAGCGTCCTTGTTGACCATAAGTGCGTAAGAAGCAAGGGGAAGAGAGGGAGAACTGTCGAAGAGAGGTTCAGAGACCTTCCGCGATTCTAGGAAGCGGCTGGAATTCGTGGCGCCGTTTGCTTCTCTTTTCGCCGCTGAAAAAGAGGGTCAAACGACTCGAACTGGGCCCGGCGACTACCTAGTTTGGCTCGTGAGAAACAATCATCGTTGTTCCCCGGGCCGAGAGAGGGAGGGAGGGGTCGCTTCTAGTCTCTTCTCTCCTTCTCCAACCGGAACCATGGGACCGCAGCGGCCAGACAACGAAGGACGATGGTCCTTGCTTTTTACCATTGACGGTTGTAATAACAACCGACTGGCAGCGAGCAGAGAGGGATTTAAACGTGTCTCTCGATTCCATCCTGCCCCTCCCTTCTTCCACTTATTCTTCTTCTTCTTCTTCTTTTTCTTCTTCTTCTTCTTCATTGGCTTCGGTTGGTTTCTTTCGAGCCACGGTTTTCCAAGGAGAACCGAAACACTCGCTCGCGAGTTCTGTGGCAACGGCCCTGTTTTCGGCAGACGTCGATGCCTTGGCGATTTTGGTAATTGGGGACTTCTTCTACCGTTCGGTTCTTCTTTCGATGGAATTGATCCTCGTCCGGTGTACTTGTGCATTTAGTGACGTCGAATGGTTGTTCAATGTATACTGCCGTTCGTAAGTAATAGGACACCTCTCGTAAATATTATATATTTTAAACCACTTTCGTTATTTTGTACTAGCATAAATTTGCCCGTCGGGCTTTAATATTCTCCACGCAACACATAATATTTCTCATAAATACACTACGTATGTTTGTGCAAATATAGATTCTCATTAGATTGATTTTTCGAAATTTTGTTTACCCCCTTCAGAGTACTACTTAGTAGGTTCGAAATGGAAAGTAAACTAGACTAAACCTTAAAACTTTTTACCATACTGAATTCTACACAACATTGTATAAATGCATAGAATCAGTCCTAGGAGACATCAAACTATTTAACTCCTTGCATGGTCCGTATTTATTTCCACAGTGTTCACCAGCAGGTCCTCATTTAAATCAGAGAAATCCTTGTTCAGTCGCACTGAACATTCGCCCCGCTAGATTAAACTCGTTGTCCAGTCACAATAAACACAGGGTTTACCACACCTTGGTTAATTCAGTTTATCCAAGAAACATCCAGATTCATTAACCATCACGAGCCATTCCACTTTCACCTTCCTCGACGGAGGGATACCCGTCTGTTCGAGAGACATAATTTAAACGAATCACCTCGAACATCGAATTTCCCTTCTCGGCCACGGAGTGAACCGTCATCCGCGAGTCCTACGGGCGATTCAATCCAAGCCTGTTGGCGGGGAAGCGGGGTAACTATAAAAATATCGTAAACCCAACGCTCCGCGTCGACAGCGAGATCAGCCGACGATCATCGAACGCCGCGCAGCAGCGGCGGCTTCATGGTATTTATCGTTTTACACCGGCAATATATTCGCCGCGGACTGGACACACACACGTTTTGTCCGGATTTTTCGCGAACGAGTGCGCGCGCGCACGAGGCCCCAGGACTATTCATTCATGGAACGATCGAGGGATGGGGGGGGGGGGGGAACAGGTTCCACGACCGAAAGGTCCCGAGACGCGACGGCCCTCCTTGGATTCAACGGAGATCTCGCAAGCGCGCGCGCGAGCTCGGACGGCTGTAATAAAGCCATTAAGAACGGAATTCCACGAAAGATCCGCTCTTAAATTTTGCCGAGAGTTTGCTCTCCGTCGAGCAAGCGCGCAGGTGCGGAATGAGGAATTATTATCGGGACAAAGGCATTCCCGAGTGGTCAGAGGACCACCCCTATCGATCGATCGATCATCGAACGTTTCGCGAGATAACCCCCCCCCCCCCCCCCACCTCTCTGGTCGGACTCGCTTCTATACTTTGGCTCTTAAGTTTTCGTCCGTTGTACTCTTATTGGAAGTTAAACGGTGCTCGAGTTGTTCGTTTAGGCTGAGAGGAGAGATAAATGATCGATCGTCGCTCGTATTTGCGGTGTTAAACAGTTAATGTGATTTTTATGGTGTTCCATTAGATATAGTAAGTTTGCAGTAAACTAAATTTAAAAGTTATTCCTGCTCCATTTTCCTCCGTAACATACGGTTTTTCATCGTCTTTGTACTTTTTAATTCTGTCATAGAACAATGTGGAACAAATTTCGAACTTTTTCGGAGTTAGTTTGGTGCTGGGCAATGTGTATGGATTGATGGTAGCGGCGGAGTGAACATATTAAAAAGAATAGATAGTTTCCGAGCTTTAGAAAAGGGCAGGAAAGAGAGAAAATAAAGGGATAGGAAAATAGCTGGTAAAAGGGGTAGTAAGTAGCTGGAAACAGGAAGCAATAACCAAATTTTCATGTGCACGAACAGTATAGTGTTTCTCATTGTAGTGCTGCTTTTCAAAGACCACCACGTGGCCACCTTGGATCATCGAGAAAACTAAACGTTCAAAAAAATTTCACATAACCCTTTCGATCCGCCCGAAACCGCCAATTCAAAGTTCCTCCTATGCCACGTTCCCACGTACCCTAAAACCAGGTCAACCGATTTACGATGGTGTGCTGTCTTTCGATCGCGCGTGACCATTCAGCGATTAGTTGCCGCAAGGATATTCACGCGGCCAGAAAGAGAGAGATAAAAAAAGGGAACGGCTCGTTAACAAAAGCGTTAGAAAGTTTGAGAGGACAAGCGGATATTTCGTCGTGTGGAATCGTTAAAGACTCTGCCCATTACCGAGTTCTGACCTCCGAAGACAAGTCTTCGAGGGGTTCCAGCTAATTGCTCCTACGGTTTCGCGGGGATCCGGCCGAGGTGACAAAAGCTTTCACACTCGAACTAGTAATAAAAAGGGAAACGACGAGAGGTGACCTGGTGTTATACCTGTCGGTAACCTTTGGACTTTCCGCCAACCCCCCCCTTCCCCCATTGTTTGCCCCAACGTCCGCAATTTTCAACATCGTAAATCACGTACCGATCCCCGGGACCCTTTTCGGAATCTACCTGCGAGTTTCTATTAGCGGATTCTCTGCCGACCAGAGAGATCTGGAGAGGCTAACCTTTTCTTACGGTTTTGTGCGAGCGGATTCATTGTGGAAATAGCGTGAACTGATCTACAAGAATCTACCTTGAAAACTAGAAAACTAAGAATGATATGGGAAAATGAAATGGAAAAATAACAGCAGTAGGACGTATTGTATAGACAATCGACAGAAGCCTCGCAACTGATGAGAATATATCTGTGGCTGCGAGGAAAAATGCTGCATGTCATAATTTCAACAAATTTGAGTTTACACATTAATCTAGCTGTAGAATATAGGATTCATGTATTTCTAATGTTCTTCTATATCTCGAAAGTGAAAGCACGTGACATACGACGTTTTTCCTATCAACCACGGATACTAGGTTGTCCAGGACAAGTCCATGCCGTTTCAGACGTACAGTGTGTTTATTACCTTTTTACTTGAATAATAAAACATTGTTTAGGAAGCCCAAAAACTGACTAAAAATGCAATACACAATGCGTGGAACGAAAAATGGCAAAATATAACACCACAAAAACTCCATAAAATCAGGGAAAATATACATGAAAAAAGCCCGGGATTAAATTTCTCAAGACAAAATCAAATCACCATAAATAGACTGAGAATTGGGCACACGAATTTAAGCCACATACACATTATAACAAAAGGAAACCTAAACATGTGCGACAATTGCAACATCCCACTAACAGTGCAACACTTAATTATCGACTGCCCTCTATTTCAAGAACAAACAAGAAAGCATCACATACCAGAAGACCTTAACACAAGTCTCAACGATAAAGCTTCATCTGAAAACACCTTAGCCTTCCTAAAAGAAATCAATTTTCTACACCGCATCTAGACTCAAAAGTATAAAAATAGCAGTAACGTATATGTAATCAAATATATGTAACGTAGTCCTAAGTCGCTAATGACCCACAAGAGGTTGATGCGACAATAAATAAACAAATTAAAAAAAAAAAAAATTGACTATGCACAATTCTCGAAGTATGTACATTCCGAGTGTTGCTTCTGTGCAGTATAGTCGTGAATATTCTGATTTTTCTGAAAGATATAAGTGAAAAATCATGAGCAAAAACAGCCAGACGATTACTTAGTCGTCTCATCGGACGTGTTTATAATAGTTGGATAAATTTCTTTCTTGTTGCTTTATTTACAGAGTACAAATTCTCGATGTACACGCCGAGCATGATCGCGGCTGCGAGCGTAGCGGCGGCCCTCCACGGTCTCGATTGGACTGGGAAAAGCGGTTACGGGCTGGCCGGTCTCCTCGACGAGCTTACTCGCATCACGGCTATCGAACAGGTTTGTCCTCTTGATATTATTACAAGACACCGCCGTGGAAAAAGCCTCGGCTAGCGGTGTCAAGGAATAGGTTTAATCGCCACTTGATTTGCACCCGGTTTACGTAAGCAGGTTTAAAGCGCGGTTTGTGGCTTCGCAGTGCTTGGAATTCTATACGAACGATATAAGAGTTCAAGGTCTTCTTATCGTCTCTGAGAAAAGCCTCCCGTTTCGTTGATCACGTGACCGTGGAATTCGACATATGTATCGCGCGGCATTTAGACGAAATTCATCTAGGTATTCGCTTTTCAATCGCAAAATACATCTCGACATTTTCATTTTTTTTTTTTTTTTATAATTTAGCGTCCCTTTACTGTTTGAACTACACAATTAATAATACATATAAGTAGAACAATATACTTTGTAACGTACCCATACAAGTCATGAAATCAGTAGGTATATGATTCAACTGCTTTAAATTTTGGTGTATTAATTAGTAATTGTTTAACCAGGTCTCATACTTTGTTAATGTATATCCAAAAAAGATAAGTGGTAACAAAACAAAATTAAATACCATTAACCAGTTAAGCGTGGAATTTAGTTTTAAAAACCCTCCACCGTGTGCGGAATTAAAATCAGGCTATGACGTGTATACACGTCGAACGCAGTGCAAAATGGTCCTATTATAAGTTTTATGAAAAACGAGGAAGAACTTCATTTTTATTTATCATCCCACCACCCCCTCTGTATAAAATACTCAGCAGTTCTATTGGTAATATAAAGGAAACATTCCATCAAATAATATTCTTATTGGATTTCATTAAAATTTAGAGATTTTATAGTCAATGGTAATTTTTTATTTCTCACGACGTGTATACACGTCGAACGCACCGTAATAAAGATTTGGTTCGACGTGTATACACGTCAAACACACTTAACTGGTTAAATGGAAAATAGAAATTATAAACGCGTCAAGTGCTGGAATACGATAAAGCCACACTGTTCAACCCTGTCGTTGTCATAAACTTCTTCTTGGGATCCATGAATGAGAACGCAGGTGGCCCAGACAGTTCCTCGGAAGAGAGAGCTTCCTGCTTCTAAATAGACGCGGCTGGGCGAAAATATTGCGTTCGTCGCAGGCCGTGGACCCCATGCCGAGCCATTCACGCGTGCACTTTATTCGCGTTCGCCCCGCATTATGAATGTGCGGCCTGTATAGTCTGCGTTTGCTCTCTGCCCTTTCGCGGCCCCTTTTTTTCCCCCTCCAGTGAACATGTGCCCGACACCTGCTACGGCCCCTAATCGAGAGGTTTTTGCGCGACGCCTTGGCTGGATTCGCGAACGATCTCCCAACATCGTCTGTCGTGGAAGTTCTTCTTCAATGGAGTCTCCATCCAGTGACTCCGTTTTGCTCGGGCTTCGTCATCGTGTTAACCTTCGAGGCAAAATATCTTTTTGGTTATCAATCCGATGGCGCAGAGGGTTCGCCATTTTGTGAAGCTTCAGGACACATTACGGTTTAAAGTGCTCCAAACACAAATTTCAGAATCGTATATCAGCGGTCTAAATTCTGTATTAGCAATTGCTTTCTGATCCTTCACGTTCGAAATAAACTCTTCTTAATTATTAACATTTGATACTAACGTGAAATGACATTTGAAATTAACGTGAAATGACATTTGAAATTAACGTGAAATGACATTTGAAATTAACGTGAAATATTAATTGTAATTAACGGTGAACGCAACGTTTGAAATTCCAGGACTACCTTCAAGGCTGCCTGGAGCAGATCGAGGAGATGGTGTCGCAGGCGCACGTGGGCGCGGACGGGGGTAACGGTCGCCAGGTGATGACCGGCGGTTCCGTGACGGGGGGCACCCAGAGGCCTCTGGGGGACGAGATGACCAGCCAGGAGAAGATCCTGGAACACGAGAAGGCGGGCACGCCGACCGACGTGAGGGACGTCCATTTTTGAGAGACGCCGCTGAGGGAAACTCTGGCCAGGGTGACTCTCTGCTGAGCCTAGAGGCCGTGGACGAACGTTTAGCCAGCAGCGACGACGACGCTGATGGGACAACCGCGGCCACGAAGAGGACGAAGCTAAACGAAGGTGTAGAAGAACGAGGAGAAAGCTGAAGAAAACTCGAACGAACCGAGAGAAGATAGACGCTTTTACAGATCGAAGAAAGTTCGAATCGTCGATACACTAATACACATCCACGCACGCGCATACATGGCCGGATTTTTCCCATATGTACAGAAAGAACGAAAATGAATGTTCACAGAAGGAGGGAGAGAGAGACCGGTCGATATTTTTTAGTTCCGTGATCGCGAAGATCCATTTGTGAGGGGGTTTCGTGGACCAAGAACAGTTCGCCCTGAACCACACATCCCCGCGTGTTACGTTTATTTTTTTTTGTTTATTATTATTTTTTTTTTTAAATCGAGGGTCTAGAAGCGATCGCGACCCTCGCGGCGAGGTTTTAGTCGAGAGAGAGAGAAAGAGAGAGAGAGAGTGAGTGAGAAACTGTCCGATAGATTAGTTTTACCCGAGAACGCGACGGGAGGAGCGTCCGGAAAGTGTGCTGGATGGATCATGATCACGATCGGATTGCGGAATATCGTTTACGTCGAGGGATAGGAGAAGGAGAATGTAAGATCTCGTTGTTATTTAGTTGTACACTCGAGAGATCCTGTAAAAAAAAAAAAAAATGAAAAACAAACAAAATGAAAGGTCGAAAAACAATCTCCGTTTCCAATCATGATCCAGAGTGTCCAGATACTTTCCGTTAAGTCTTTTTTGGTTTGTTTATTCGACGCCCCTGATCGGCGTCGCGACGCTTGTACTCGGAGACGCTGAGTCGAACGAGTCCCTCGACTTCTTCGGCCTTCGATCGCGAATCCCTCGTTAGCAGAGACATTGGAAAGATTCACGCACGAATCATAAGGGAGAGATCGAAATTCTTGTAGACGGTTACACTCCCGAAAAAAAAACGCTCCGGAGAAACTTCAATTTTTCGGGACTGGACTAAAATGTCCGCGTAATTACACACACGGGATCTGGTGTTGCAATCTCGCGATACGAACGAGATTAAGAATTCGGCAACTTTCACGTTAATATCGGCCGTGTCGCGGATCCTCGACTTTCCAATGTTTTTGATCAACGACGACAGGGAGTTTATAATCGATCGATCGGATGGAGATATCGGCCACGGGAACGAAGATCGAGAATCGTCTCTTAGCCGTCGAAGCATAATCGTGGAGTGTGTCTTCGAGGAACAGAGAAACCAAGTAAAAAGACACTGAATGTAAAAGCAGAACACTGAAAAAAGGCTGTAGCGAACGATCGGAACGCAGTCGGAATCACGGTATAGAATTTCGACGATGGCGAGGAAAAAGGAAGAGATGGAGGAGGCCCGGAAGGAGTCGAATGGAGGCGTGCTGTTGGGGGAAGGCAATGCAATACGCTTTACGCATCTATTTCGTAATAGAATTATACACTTAATTTTTAGTCCGGACGACTAAATGGAACTATATATCACACCGAGGCTGCGGAAATATCGTTGCCCCCCGTCTCTGACGTGTTGAAAGGGGGGGGGGGAGTGAAACGACGACGTAATACCGCCGCGACGTGTCCTCCTCCGTGAGACAATGAGAAACAAAACAAACAAACGAGAAGGGAAAACACACACACAGATGTGTATGTGTGTGAGAAATAGAACGGGTTACAAGAAAATTGTGGAGAGAAAAAAAACGAGAAAAAATGTGCACATAGTCATGTCGAGTCACTTAGTGTTTTGTACATAGGTATATATACGTACGAGGATGGAATATGTATACATATATACACGAGATGTGTGTGTGCGTGTGTGTCGAGCGTGCATGCAAGGTGTGTGAGAGTATAGAGATGATCGTATATACAGGAAGATACCGCGAGTAAGATTGTGTATGTAAATGTGTATCGTGAGCGAGAGAGATATTGTTAGACGATAAAGCCCCTATCCCCACTCTTTTTGTATCTACGTTAATTGTTTATCCAAATGAGGTTTCACCGAAGCCCGTGGCGCGACCCATCGCTTATTCCAGTCGGTTCCTAAGGTCGGCCGCGCCGGTTCCCCCGCCCCTCTTGAACGCTGTGTGTGTGTGTGTGTGTGTGTGTTCGTACGTACGCGCGTGTATAAAGTTATTGTGTGTGAGAAACGGGGAAGAAGAGCTTCCGAATCTAGAGAATCGGTTTCGTTGACTGCTTCCGGGTGAAACGGATATTTTTTCTTTCGGCGAACTTTCCACGGGATTGGTTCAGTCGGTTCTCGGTATTGGAAGATCAGAATGTGACGCGAAAATTCAGTTCTTCTTTCGGTTGTTACTAAGTGGAAATGTGCTGGCAAACGAAGTGACTCGATTGTTCAAGGTCACCGAGAATTCGAGCTTGAAATAAGGTACCTAAATCGTTTGACGTGATTTAATACAGGGACGTCTTGATCGGCCAGATTAATGTTCTTTTTCGTGAACGTAACCGACTGCAGCCATTCAAGTCTGTCGAAGTTTTGACCGTGGCTTTTATACGCATTGCGTATTTGCAATAGTCTAAAGTCTAGTGTAGGACGATGTTCGAGAAACTTTAATCGATTTTTCGTTTTATTCGGCACACCTAACGGACGATTTAACGGGGTAATCAAATTTGTGTAAATTGATTATTCGTATAAAAATCGGTATTTGTTTAAATGTCCGTGATCCAGCGATGGGATATTCGAGTCTCGAAACCGATCCTTTGATCTGGCGTTTCTTTCCCCTTGTATCGCGGCTGTAAATATGTAGGTAAGCTATACGAGGCGTACGATTAAGAGTTAACGCGTAGTCCGTGTAAGATAGGGCGCAATGTAACGTGGCAGAGCGACAGAGTAGAAGAGAGAAAATAGAGTGAAATAGAGGGAGTGCTTAATGAAGAATGGACTTAGCCGTCTCAGTGCTGGGATTGTTGATGTGTCTCTACGTTTGAACCTATTTCGATAAGCTTGGATAGCACGTAGGATCTCTAAATGTGATTTTCTCCTGGGCAACATTGTTGCAGAGGGAAACTTTAAGTGTTTTTCGCGTCATTGTTCAAATTCGTGGTGTTTTCAAAACTAATTTACCTTTGTCTCGATGTGAAGGTGCTCAAAACCAACTCTCTATTTCGTCATTACTTTGTCATAAACTACAGCTCTAATACGAGCAACCAAATTTTTCAACGGATTGAAGCTCTGCATTCAATGCAGAGAAATATTGCACAATACAAAAACGTTACCTGTCTCTAAAGCTTCGAAGAGTTCTGCAGCTTATCGAAATAGGTTCTCGAATAAAAGCCAAACTCACTACACCAAAAAAAAAAAAAAAAAAAAAAAAAAAAAAAATTTCAGGAATGGCCCGAGCCTCGATCATCGATCGTCCACTGTACGCTATTATACGCCTATACACATGCACTGCTATAACCGTTTTTCGTAATCCGTACGTTTACACTTAAAAGCTATTAAATAATCGTAAAAGTAGAGATGTATGTACTTCGACCGAACGAGAAAAATAAGACTGAAGGCGGCCTTCAGTTGTTTCAAGTTAGTATAACCGAGATATTTGAAGGACGGTGGTCGAGGCTCGGCCCAGTAGGCGAACCTTCGGAACAAGGATCGAGATACGCGATCATGCAAAACAGAGAAGAGAAAACACGAAAGAAAAAACGATGAACGGGACGAGAATGAAAATATTAACCCTTTGCAATCGGAATTTCTAATTTTCCATACATTTTGTCCCTTCAAAGGAGACAGTCGAGTGCAAAGGGTTAAACCTGTTAGTACTTAAAGAAAAAAAAAAGATGAAGAAACGAAGCGTCGTCGATGATAGAGTAACGAGAAAGAGAGGAACGGAGTGTTCGCGTTCCGCTCCTCGCTCGTACCCGCATTCCGACTAAACGATAATGGGAATAACAGAGCCCAGTGCCACAAAGCGAGAAACTAGTTAGTAAACATACTCTTCAGTAACCAAATCTTAGTACAACGTAGAGATCGAGTAATATAAAAGAAAAAAAAAAAAGAAACGGTAAATTATCCCGGCTGGGTACGCACGGCTGACCCCTTTCCTTACTTGTACTACTAGTGCATGGCGTATATTGTAAAACGCGTTCTGTGCACGCAACCTATTTTACATCTGTGTATATTACGTACCTTGGCGAAACGGGGAACGAAACCAGTATCGGAGGCGAGTTTTCTCGACACGAGGCCTCGTTCGCTACTGTTCAGACTAGTTCGATAACGTCTGGTGTGATTTTAACAACGATTGCACGTTACGGTACAGATCGAAAGATCGATGACTTTTCATATGTTGACGTTGTTTGACGAATTTCGGCGGGGCCTGTTAATATCGAGTGTCCAATGGAGAATATTTTTCTCCCGATGATGTAAGAGAAGTTACAGAATTTTTGTTTATTACCGAATGGGGGAACTAGATTGTTTGAACGGGAGACCTATTAATTATTTATTTTTCTTGTAACCGATTCGCGTTAATTTTATAAGCACGTATTTATTTATGTCACTTAAGAGGGTGAACATTGATTAGATGTATAAACATCGAAGCCCTGTATTTGTTCATAATGCTTTATTATTTGTTTCTATCAATGTTAAGTCTCGGGTATGTATATTATTAACCGAGATTTGTTTATTTCACAATTTTTCAAGGGGCATTTTATTTTTGTTTATATCGCTTTGAATTAATGTACATTGATTGTCCATAGTATCGCGTTGAATACTTACGATGATTTCCAGTACACTTACATTAATTTTCTAACTTATATTAGTCCATACTTGCTTAGATTTAGGGTAACTTGTACTGAAATTTCAAATTCGTTTGTATTAATTATTTCTCTCGGGTCTTCTGTTCTCGTACCTCGCTTTAACTTATATTATCGAATTTTCATTTATGTTAATTATTTGAGATCCTCTCTGTTTCTTACAATTATCATGACACTGCTATTGCTTTTAAATGCAGAAATCAGGCTACCATCGTTGTCTTTGTATAGAGCAAAGTGGAAAATAGATTCCCTTTTGGGAAGAGCGAACAATTTTTTAGACTTTTGGACCTGATAACCGTCTCCGAATTTGCGTTTCGTCTC